GGACAATCCATGTATGTATGAATGTATACCTATATCTGGTCACACTAAACCAAGTACACACACCTCCTTCGCGGCCTTTTTCTTGTCTTTCTTCTTGCTCTTCTTGTCATCCTTTCCCTTCAACCCCATGGCACTAGGCCGGTCGTTTGTCACTTTCGCTACAACGCCTGTCTTCACCTCATCCCCCTTACTTGTACTGTTACCTTCACCTTCCTCCTTCCTTTTACAGTTCACTTTAACACTTTCAGTCTCAGTCTTGTGGGCCACCCGCTGCCCATCTTTCTCCTCAGCGACTTCAGATATGTCGTTCACCGTTGATCCTTGAGTCTCTACACTCTCACTATCACCTACGCCAGCCTCCGCATCCGGCATACTATCCTTCACATCAACAACGATGCTTTCAGTATCCTTCTCATCAGCATCACCGGGCGTATCGCCCTTATTGCTACCATGTGGTACACTCACAACATCACCACTGACTGCATTAGTTACGTTTGTGTCTTCTTTTACATCTTTTACATCATCTGCTGTATCTATTTCACTAGTCTTATCTGTCCCATCAGTACGCTGACTACAATCAGCACTCCCGGTCGCACCAACCTCGCTGGCATTATCTTGTATGATTGTAACACCACCACCAGCTGATTCATCGTTATCCGTAACATCTTGATGTACTTGCTCATCCGTAACACTATGCACTGCACTTGTCTCACTCACCTCCGTTTCTTCTGCAATTGTCGCAGCACCAGCCAGATTATCCGCATGCACTATACGATCCCTAGCTATAGCGTCTCCGCTGTCTGCTGTATCTGTGTGCTGAGAAAAATCACCTCGGTCCAACACCGAGTTAGCACTCGCGTACTCGTCGATTGAGTGGGCGCTTGCATACTCATCTATTGATTCAATGCTCTCGGTAGGCTTAGTGTCTGTGTCTGTAGTGATAGTTTCTTGTTCAGCATTCCTACTATCGTCTACGTCTCGAATAGTCTCTAGGGTAGTGAATTGCTGGTCTATATCGTCACCCATAACACCGGAGGCTTCCATTGAAGCCGTATTGTTCATAAGTTCACCCTCTATGATTGGTACCTCTGTGGTTTTTGTGGGTATGTCTACCGCTGGTAATGTATCGAGTTCAGCTGCGTTTGACATGCTAAAGTTTACCGTATGCGATCAGATTTCTTAACGTGTATAAATATGTAAGTGTTAGTGTGTATAAGATTGATGTATACATGTATAATATATATATATATATATATATA